ATCTATATAGCTGCCCTGTAATACTGGCAAGAGATGCCAGGGACCCCTTGCAAATAACAAACCCCACAAGTTTGCATGAGCCCATGAATGAAATGGCATAGGAACTGCATATAACCTACACACGTCCTTCTGCGTGCTTTAAGCAGTTGTTATATACAATAACCTATTGGTTAATGTTATGTAACTATTGCATTGCCTAGGGAATGGCAGAAGTCTGTGTTTAGTATAATTCAGTGAGGGGCTTTAGAGAGGGCTCAGTGGTTGAGTACTGGCTGCTCTCCAGAGGACGGGAGTTTGATTCCCAGCACCCCCACAGCGCTCACCACCTTTTAAAACTCCAGCTCCAGGAGACCCAGTGCCGCTTTCTGGCCTCTGCAGGTACATGCATACACATGGCGTTCATTTACACAATTACATGTGCACGCAAATCGAAATTGAGTTCACAGTTGTGGGAACCCACAAGCAGATAAGGGAGAGTTGTTTTTGTATTATTTGTTGTAAATACCATAGCCCAGGTGTTTATTTCTCATTGTTCTGGAGGCAGGGAGAGCATGGACGAAGGCCAGGAAGGGCTACTTGTGGTGAGGGATCTTTTTCCAGGGCCGTTGGTGGCCACCTTCTCGTCTTAGGATTTTTTTCCTTGATAGGGGGGTTGCGTGTTTGTGCACATGGGGTGAGGGGAAGGAGAGAGGCCGTGGTCCTCATAGCCGTTACGCCATGACCTTCTGTTGTCATGTAATAGTGTTTTTTCTTGTGATTTGTTCTTCATGAGCTACGCCTTTATTTGTGTATTTCCCCTACCTTTAGGGTTTTTGAGAGGTGATTTTACTGGAACTCACTCTGTAGACCAGGCTGGGATTAAAGCCTGCACCACCACCGCCCAGCGACCAGCAGGATTAGTTACTGTGCGTGTATATGCAGATGGGCACGTGGTTCTGTGAGGGTCAAAGGACAACATTTGGGTACCAGGGATTGAGCTCAGGCTGTCAGTCTTGGCGGCAGGAGTGTTTATCCCGACCCTACTTAAGCAACCCCTTTTACTTTGCCTTGACTGTCGCTCCATGTGAGTTCCTTGGGGACATGTGGTTGATCCATCTACCCTAACCTAACCCAGGCCTTGTGCATGCATACAGGGCAAGTTCCCTTCTATCCTGCACTCCTAACTTTGGATCACATTAGCTTTCAAAGTTTTTTTTTTTTCCTTTTTTTGTTTTGTTTTTGTTTTTTTTTTGAGACAGGGTTTCTCTGTAGCTTTGGAGCCTGTCCTGGAACTCCCTTTGTAGACAAGGCCTGCCTCTGCCTCCCGAGTGCTGGGATTAAAGGCGTGCACCACCACCGCCCAGCTCAAAATTTTTATTTTTTTTTAAATATGTACTAGTGTTTGCCTGCACGTAAGTGTGCCATGTGTACACAGTGCCCAAGGACACCAAAGAGGGCGTTGGATCCCCAGGAGCTGGAGTTTACAGTTGGCTGTGCACTGCCATGTGGGTGTCTACAGGAGCAGCCAGTGCTCTTAACCACCGAGCCACCTCTCCAGCCCCTCTGGATCAGATTTTAAAATCTGCTTCTCTTGTATTCCCTTTGGTGTTTCAAAACAGTGTCAGTATATTGTTTATAACTTTCATGTATTTACGACTTAAGCTGGTCTCAAACGTGTGTAGCTGAGAATGGCCTTAACTTCCCAACCCTCATGCTGGGATTACAGGTGTGCTACTGCAGACTGAGGTTTGAAAGCGATTTCTATTTCATATTATGACTGGCTATGAAGCATTTCCCAAAAGGTTCCTGTGTTGAAGGCGTAGAGCACAGCTTGTGGGTTTGATCAAGTCATCTGTTCCGAGGTGAGAGGGTCTGACCTAACCTCTGGTTAGCCCACAGAGGGATTCATAATTTGATGGCTTTAAAGGAGGGATTGGAACTTATGTAGATGAGGCCCGTGGCTGTACGAAGCGGGCCACTGGACCACACATACCTTCTCCTCCCCCTAGGTTCTTTCCTAACCACCACAAAGCAAGCAGACCGGCAGTAGCAGGTTTTTACTTGCTCAGCTGGCCTCAAGCCCTGAGCTGTGCAGCCCACAGCCAGGATGGCGGGATTTCCTCAGGTGTTCTGTCCTGTGGGAAGGAACTGATTGTTGGGGCGTAGCTCACTGCTGTTGGTCCCTCACTATTGTATTTCTCTCTTTTCTTCCTGCCTCTTGGCGTTATTTGACTTTTGAGGATGGGGTCTTGGTGTTTGCCCAGGCTGGCCTTGAACCTGTGGTGCAAGTGCTGGGCCACAGCACTCGGCCCAGTCTATGCCTTATCTGCAGTGTCCTCTCCAGAGATTTTTAAAAAAGGAGTTTTGAATTTGTATGGAGCTTGTCACAGTCGTCTACCAGTTCAAGTAACAGAAACTTGACCTCTCAATATTCCCCCTTTAAGTCCCTTTGTTACTGCCCCTTCAAATGGGGAGAGGGTGTAGCTGTAGAGGTGCTTGGTGCTAAGCCTGCTGGCCTGAGTTCAGTCCCCATGGCCCACATGCCCACCCCCATACAGTCACAAACACAGTGTGATAAACCCAGGGTCGTCCTCCCTCCTGTGCCTTTGAGCCGGCCGACCATGCTGTCAACTGCTGCAGCTACACGAGCAAGGGCTTGCAGTCGGAGTCTTGCATTAAAGCACGCTTGTGTTTCTGTGGCTGACCTTCCCGCTATGCCAAGGTTTCGGTCTGGCTAACTTTCCCACCAGCTTTTCTGGGTCAATTTCTGGTGACAAAGTTCCTCCATTTTCTTTCATTCTCAAACGCCCTGATTCTGGTTCCTTCCTGAAAAATAATGACTTGTTTTCAATGAGGTAGGATTGTTGTGGAATATTTCACTTTGCAAGGGTGTGTTGCATTTGTTTAACTATGTAAAGATGTGTTGCTGTTTTACCTTGCCTGCCTACGGCACTAGAATGCTGTAATAAAAAGCTGAACAGCCAATAGGGAGGAGGTATTATAGCCAGGACTTCAGGCAGGGAGAGAGTAAGTAGGAGGAAGAATTTAGGCTTAGGGGAAGACAGAAAAAGACACCAGGGAAATGCCAGGGGCCAGCCAGCCATGGAGGAAGCAGGAAAGTAGAGCATACAGAAGAAAAGAAAGGTAAAAAGCCCTGAGCCAGAATGTAGGGGGAAAGAAACAGGTTTAATTAAAGAGCTAGTGGGACAAGCCCAGGCCAAGGCCGGGGATTCTAAGTCTCCGTGTCTTTGTTTGGGGCTGGTTGGCAACCCCCCAAAATGCCAACTACATGAGATTGTGGTTTGTCAATTCCTCCCTCCCATTCAGTCATTTTTTGAGGTGCAGGGTCTTACTCTAGTCCAGAAATGTACTAGAACTCAGGACATAACCCAGAGTAACCTTAGCTCAGGACACACCACCCTAGCATCCCAAGTGCTGGGTTACAGACATGTGCCACCGTGCAGCGGTGTGGGCTGAAGACAAGTTCCATGTCATGTCATTTCTTGTGGTGGCGCACACCTTCAATCCCAACACTGAGAGGCAGAGGCAGGCCGGTCTCTGAGTTCAAGGCCAGCCTGGTGTACAGAGCGAGTCCCAGGACAGCCAGGACTACGCAGAAAAACCCTGTCTCACCCCCCCCCCAATTTTCTTCAGAAATGTGGTTATGCTGTACTAGTATCCTGGTAAGGATTTCGTTGGGGTTATCCATTTTCAGGTTTGTTCCGCCATCAGGTTTGGGTTTCTTGCCAAAACTGTGATTAAGGCATTTATTTATTTAGTAGTATTTTTCCTTTTTGAAATAGTCCACCAGAGAGTCTGCCCACTCTGCGCTCTGAGCCCAAGCTGCTCTGAACGCAAGCCCTCTGTGCCTTTGCCTCCTGAAAGCTGGGGCTGTAGACTTGTGCCGCCACGGGACTGAGGCGTGGCTTGAATTGCTGCTATTGGCCACTGGGCTAGCAAAGGGATGCACAGCTTCCTTGCAGCCATGCTAGACAGATCCAGCTTCCTCCTTTGGCCTCAGCCAACACCTGAGGTGTCTGGCTCCTCAGTGCTGGCTGGGAGCACTGCACCGCCCTCATGAGGAGTCTCAGGTAGACAGCCAGGCTCCCCTGTGGCATTTGGCTAAAGGAGAGCAGCAACCAGAACCAAACTGTCTTTTGAGGCTGCCTCTTCCCTGGTGCTGATCTAGAACGGCTTTTGCTTGCCAGACACCCCCCCCCCCCCCAAATTGGTGTTTCCATTGTTAATCTGCCCTGGGTTTAAACTGTGCTGAAGAAGGGAAGCAGATGTTCCTGGTCCCCGTATCGAGCCATCCTGGGTTTCATGTGGTACAAACATTAATTCTAGTTGTTTCTTTTTATGAATGGCTGCATTCTGCTATGCAGAGATGTTTGGTTTTATATAGAGCTGAGCACATGAAAACGTATCAGGGTTTTAGCGCATGTTTGACAGGGCTTATCACGGTAAGACCCTGCGATGGAGGCTTTGGGCACTGAGCTGCGCATGTTCATCACAAATCTTGCAGCCTAGCTAGGCAACTGGGGGAGCAGTTCTTTGAGCTTTAGACCTCACGCTCCATACAGACCCTCAGTGACATCTGTGGGTGAGCCTGGCACAAGGTGTAAAAACCCATCTGTGGCCACGCATCCCTTCTCGTTCGGTCATGTCCCTAAGGATCCCGTTTCATACAGGGTTGACTGTTCCGGGCTTCCTTGAAGAACGCTGGAGAGAATTCCCAAACTTATCCCAGCCAAGCAGAGGACATGTGTCCTCGATCTGCAGTGGCGCCTAGCCTGTGTTCACACGTAACATGAGGAAAGCAGCTTTCCATTCAGACTCGGAAGCTATGCTGGTTTCCACCGCTCTCCTTTATTAGCTCAGTCTGTCCTAAGCTGTACAGCTACGAAAATAACAGACGGAGCCGGAAGCCCAGGAGACGCGCACTCCGTAGTGAGGTCAGCCTATGCTGTTGCACGGTCGGTTATGTTTGGTACCATAAGGTGTTCATAATTCAAACAAAATCGGACAGATTAACAATTTTATGTACAGTAAAACAAAAGGGAAGTCATTCAAGTATCAAAATACGGAAACAAAGATTAAATAACATTTTTCTTACAATCCAGTCCCACTGTCCGCCATGAGCAACAACTCCTGTGACCTGCAGCGTAGCCGACTGTGAGACACTGTGACAATTGCAGCCGTGGGTTCTGAGTGCTCGAACCCGAGGCTTCTGGAGAACTCCTGAATAGGCAACCTCAGAGGCAGAGCCCGCCGGAGCCTCCTGCTCAGGGTAGTGAGCTGGCCGGGAGGCAAGGAAGGGGGCCTGCGGCCACCGCAGCAAGAGCACTGGGCACATTTTACCACTCTGACCAGAACGGTTCCTTCACAGCCTCGGTCTTGCCACAGGGCATGACTCGCACAAGTACCAAAGGCAGACCCTTCCACTTGGCATCTGTCCTGAAAGGGAGAGACCCACCCCGAGGAGTCGAAGAGGAATTTCTTGACTATTCAGAAACCAATCTTGAAAGGAGCCCCAGAGCAGACAAGCCAGAGACTTTCTGGTAGAAACACCCTGAATAAATAAGACATAGCAGCGTCAAGGGGAAGTGCCTGCCTGGGATTTCTAGAACAAAATGCAGCTGGAGCTCATCGTAGTGTCTACAGTGTCCCCAGGCTTCGTGCCCACCACCGAGCTCACCTCTGGGAGCAGGATTCCTGCAAGGTGGGAGCTGAGGGCAACTTTCTAGGGCTGAGAGTGTGAGGCAGGGAAAGGAAGTTCTGTCGCCGGTACCTAGCAGTGGAGGACCATTGGCTTCTTTCCCAGAGAGGACAGAGAGCCCACAGGCCTAGCAGAGGTCAACCCTGCTTCCCAAGGAGCAGCCACGAGGAAGAGGCGCCCAGCAGCACTCCACGCACACGCCCCAACTGCAGTCACAGATCTGCACGAGCCTGACCTGCTGCCCCCGAGACCGCACCCACGGGCTCAGTGCTGCTCTTTGCTCTCTACTCCAGAAACGCTGGGGAGTGGCTGGCCTGGCTTGTCCCCATCCCCCAGTACTCTGCTCCGCATCGTTCCTTAGGCCCAGGAGAATGCCTGCCACCCACGTCACTCTAAAGAGCAAAGCTAGCAGAAGAGTCCGAGGGACACCACTTATCCTCAAGACCACAGCCGGGAAGACTGTCACTGGACGTAGCCTTTTCCACAACTGGAACAGATGTGTCCAGCAAGAGGAAACAACAGTCAAAAAGAACCAGAGTGAGGCCAGCCAAGGTCCAAGCTGGCAAGCTGCAAGCTTAGCTGATAATCCCACTAGCGCTCCAGACAAAGCCACTTCTCCCTTCTGACATGGCTGCTGCAGCCTGTCAACACACGGCACAGCTGCCGTGGGCAGTGCCAACATGGACAGGAGAGTACCAAGGAGTTCCCCACACCAGAAACTACTTGCTCATCCCCACTGGAACCCCAGAAACTTCTGCTCTGGCCCAAGTGTCATCACCCCAGCCTAGCTCTAGACTAGGAGCTGGGAACAAAAGTTTGAAGTCTCAGCTCTGCCCCAAGCCACCCCCAGGCTGGGACTCCATCCTGAAGGCAGAGGGCTGTACGGACGAGGTCTTTTCCTGTCATCTTGATCGACAGCTTTATCCAGAAACTGGAACCAAGTGTTAAAAATTTATAAAAAAAAAAAAAAGTTTTCCTATTAAAAACACATGTCCTGGACAGGCCACTCTTGGGCCACCAAGAGTTATGGTCCCCTCGGCTTGACGCCTGGTGTCTTCTCTGCCTCCATGACTGGGTTTGATCTGCCAGACCAAGCGCTGAAAGGAGATCCTACGGGCAGGGCTGGGCCTGGGTCTTCAGAGCTGCCGACGAGGCTCGGTGCTGGGGGCAGGAGCCTGTGCTTTCCACGGCTGTTTCTGCAGCACAGTGTGGCTCCTCAGTGGCTCAGCTTGGCAGAAGCAAACAACGGGGGAGGAAAGAGTTAACCAAAGTCTGCGCAAGGTGGAGGAAATGGAAAGGACACAGAGCAGAAGAGAAGTCCCTGCCTCCCCCGAGCGGAGCAGAGCGGAGTGCCCTCCACAGCCTACAGCCCTCTGCTGCTCCTGGCCCATCTGTCCAGGAAGGCACAAAGACAGGCGGTGGAAGGGCCAGCCCTGGTCCCAGCTCAGCGCTGACTGACTCTTCCACTGTCCTACACTGTTGGCACCAAGGCCACAGGCATCAGTTCTTCTGCCTCCTGCCATCTAGACTGATCTTCCCACAGCTCCATGATGCTAGCTGTGGGGATGGCTGGATGACGGCTGTCTCAGGTCCCTACCACCACAGGGAGTGTGAGAATGCTGTCAGACACCAGAGAAGCTGCTCAGTATCCGCCCTCTGCGCAGGCAGCTCCACTCTGAGAAGGAACTGAGAAGGAAGAAGGTGCACTTGTGTGCAGGGCATGCCCTCGGTGAGCTGGACTCCAGAGCCAGGCCCACAGCACAGAAAGGGGCCAAGCACACACAGGTCCCTAAGAACCCACTGTTTGGACGTGCTCGAGGGTGTGGCCAGTACCAACCTTGGCCCTTACAGAAAGTCTGTCCCTGGTGAAGCCACATCACGGGGCCTGACCAGGTGAGAAAGCAGCTGTGTGCAGGGCGCCTGGCACTGGTGGTCACAGTGGTAGGTGGGTCAGGAAAGGTGAAAACTGGTAGCTTTTGGCATCCAGCTGTGACCCAGGATTGGACAGGAGAGGAGAGCAACCTTGGGGAGGCTACTGGGGTCCCCGTGGAAGCTACCCCCACTCCTCACCTCCCAGGGCCTAGTGCAAAGGCTTTGGGGCCCTCGGATGGAAGCTGCCCTAGTTGTCCTCGGCCCACAGGGAGGTTCACAGTGTGGGTGGTGGAAAGCAGGAGCTGTGAGGGAGGAGGTGTCTAGAGCTGCTGCCAGGAGGGCAGGTCCCATGCAGCTGGAAGGAGAGCTGAGACAGCAGAGCCATCGGGTGGCAAAGGCACAGTGGGGTAGTGGAGACAGGGTGGCTGTTTAGAAGATAGTGGTCTCATACTTGGTGCTGAGGCTCCGCTTAGAGTCTGGCTTTGGGTCCACAATCCAGGAAACACTAGCGTGGGATGGGGCCTCCTGGTCCGAGTCAGGCGGTTCCAGCTGCCAAACAAGGAGACAGGGTTAGGACTGAATGTGGCCTCTGCACAGGGCCCGCACACCTGCCCGCCCTGAAGGTGAAGGACGGGCACCTCCAGGAGCCTGGAACAGTTCCTCAGGGACTACGCAGAGGAACCCTGCCCAACTAGAGTTCAGTCTGGTCATGGTGGGCAGGAAGGGGACGAATGCTCAGCAGCCCCCAGCCCCTGGGTCCCTCTAGTGGGCAGAAGAGCTCAGCCTGGGGCAGACCATTCTAGACCTTTGCAGAGGACACACGACAAAGACAAAGGGCAGAGCACACAGTGAGGGCGTCTCCAGAAAGGAAAAGAGTCACACAGGCAGAGCACAGAGGCCACCGGGATATAAGAGCTCACGGATGCTTCAGAGAGCCTGACACAAAAGACAGCGGGAGGCAGAAAGACCTTGGCTCCAGGACCAAGAGACGGCAGCGGTAGGTAGGAAGGACGGTGGGTGGTGCAGGTGTGACAGTGACAACAGCGACTATCGGGGGGCATCGGCACCTGGGGCACAGAGCAAAGCAGACAGACGGGGGGGGGGGGGGTGTCACTGGTGCTGTAGCCACACATGGCAGCCCCAGGATGGCTGCCCTCTCCTGCCCGAGGAACCCAGGGATGCAGGGGGAGGGGAGCTAAAGGAAGAGGGCTGCTTTCCTGGGGCAACTGCCAAGGAGTGAGAAGACATTTGATGTGCCCAGCTCCACCCAAGCCCTGGGGTGCTTTGTGGATGGGGGGTGGGGTGGGCACGTACTGCAGACTTCCTCACGCCGACCCGAGGCTTAGGCACCGGTTTGGAAGATTTTGTTTCAATCACTGCAGCTGCAGAGGCCCCCATCGTCCTGGATTTCTGGGCCTGAAGGGCCAGCTGATAGGCCACCTCAAATGCCTGCCCCAGGGTCAGGATGATCTCGTAGGTGAGGTTCTGGGAAGAAGCAGAGAGTCTGCTGAGCAGTGCAGATTCCTGCAGACCCCCTATTCCTACCGGGAGTTAGGGAACTTCTTTTTGAAAATAAAAATTGAAGCCCAGCAGTGGTGGTACACACCTTTAATAATAGCACCCAGAGCCAGGGACTTTAATCCCAGGAGGCAGAGGCAGGCAGCTCTCTGAGTTCAAGGCTAGCCTGGTCTATACAGCGAGTTTCAGGACAGCCATGGGTTATACAGAGAAACTCTGTCTCAACCAAAAACAACAAAACAAAAAAACCCAACAGACTTATTTCAAAGTGAGGAATTTCAGCACATTTAGTTTCCTTAGGCATGATTCTTTCAAACACTAAACTTCAAAACCAGCTAAGCTGGGGCTGGAGAGACAGCTCAAAGGTTAAGAGCACTGGCTGCTCTTCCAGAGGACCTGGGTTCAGTTCCCAACACCCACATGGTGCCCTCTTCTAGCCTAAAGGAATACATGCAGACAGAGCCGTCGTACAAAAAATAAAGATCAGGGCTGGAGAGATGGCTCAGTGGTTAAGAGGATTGCCTGCTCTTCCAAAGGTCCTGAGTTCAATTCCCAGCAACCACATGGTGGCTCACAACCATCTGTAATGAGATCTGGCGCCCTCTTCTGGCCTGCAGGCACACATGGAGGCAGAATATTGTATACATAATAAATAAATATTTAAAAAAAAATAAAGATCATTAAAAAAAACCAAAGCCCAGCTAGGCTGCTCCTATCACAAGAAGAGACACCTGCGGCCCATCCCTGGTGTCCTGGGGACTGTGCTTTCTCCTGAGTCTTCTCTGGCTGGCTTCCCAAGGTGGAGGGAGCACCAGTGATTGGTAGTGTGCCCGTGGTCCACCGGCCTGCGGTTATGCAGCACAGCGAGTTAGGAGCAGGTGTGCCTCTGTGAGCCGCAGGCTAGGAGCTACTAGCTCACACCACGTAATCTTCAGTACAGCCCAGAGGGAGTAGAGGTAACGTTTTTAGATCATGCAGCTACTAGGGGCAAAACTGGGCATCTGACACCACAGCCTGGGACTGCAAAGACTTTCTGTAGTGTCTGTGTGGAGGGAGCCCCAGAGCGCTGGACACGGGAGACTTCCTGCTGGGTGAGTAGGAGCAAGGAGAGCCAAGGCCAGGGTGTACCACTACCAGCAGCTTGGGGCCCTGTCCCACCTAGGAAACACGTAGCTAAAAAACCAAGGTGCCACCAATAGCCAGGCTTAGGGTGCTTCCCTCTGGGCTGCCACTCCTGCTGTGAAAAGGACTGCACTGGGCACCACTGGGCTTCATTCGTAGGCCAGTCCCCTGCCTGCTAGGGCTAGGCCAGCACAGATCCCCATCCAGTGACAGAATGTGGCCCCTCCATGGCCTTGCTCATCTCTGCCTTCTCAAGGCAGAGCCTGCTGTCGTCACGGGGACACTCACCACATCCACTGTGCTGAAGACGTGGCAGTAGTGGTGGCTCGTCTGCAGGTCCTTGGTGATGTAGGCAAAGGTACACAGGTCCTCCGGGTCCTGCGCAGCGCAAGAAATGTTCCGGATCTCATGCTCAGCAATGACATTCTGCCAGGAAAAACGTGTTCTGGAACTCACGGTCCCCTCGGGGCACGCCTCTAAGATTACCACCCTAGCCTTTCAGCAGCCTGGAACTCCAGACAAACCCCTCTTTTTCCTCACCCTGGCCATGGCCAACAGACAGCAAAGTGTTCCTAGGCAAATGCATGCTCCACCTGTCCCCACAGGAGGGCAGCAGAGCACCCAGGGAGGCTCTTAGGCCAGGCCAGGGACCAGCAAACAGAGTTCCAGGAATGTGACGGTGAGGTGGCTCTGCCCACCGCTGCCCTTTGAACAGGAAGTGCTTCAAGGACTCACATACTGGACACTTTTCTCCAGCTTTTGGCCATGTTCTAGAAGATGCTGGAGACTTTAAGAGGCAGGGCATAGGAAGCAGGTTACTGAGAACATGCTTTGGAAGGTTATACCTGCCCAGGCCCTCCTCACTGTTTCCTGTCCACCACAACAGAGCGAGCTGTGCTTCCTCTTCTGAAACTGTAAGCCAGACAAGCCCTTTGTGCTCTGAACTGGTTGGGCCGCTTGGTCACGGCATGAACAGGTAACGTGGAAGTGGAGCTACGGCAGTGCCTAACCTGACAACATGGTTCTCGCACCTCTGCAAAGGGGGACAGAGAAGGCTGCGTTCTGTCCCTGCCCCTGGACGGAGGCTGAGGTGGAGCAGGTTGCATTAGAAGGGGCTATGGCTGTGGCTGTTTGAACCAGGCTTACAGGGAGAACTGGAAACAACAACCCAGGCAGAAAGCTGTAATGAGGCTGGCCCAGGGACAACATGGTTTCTGACGACAGCAGTAGCATTAAAGAGGGGCCAAAGGCTCTGCATTAGAATAACAGGAAAGTGACTTTGGAGGCAGTCTGGGCATTGGGCTACCCTACCCATGACAAACACAAGAGGATGGAGGTGTGAACTCACTGGAACCACTAGAGTGATCTGCCTGTGCAGGGCCACCTAGGAGGTTAGGAGGGTTTTCCTGGAGCCATCTGATCGTGTTCTACCACTGTGAAACACTATGTGTCGCTGTGACTAGCCAACAGCTGAACAGGATAAAGTTAGGCAGGAGGCCAGACGAGGAGAGGAAGAGGGGCAGATGCGGAAGCAAGACGGGCATGTTGTCCTGAGAAACGGCACCAAGCCACATGGCAGAGCACAGATAAGAGCTGTTAGTTAATTTAAATGTAAGACTCAGGTAGTAACTGTTAGTTAATTTAAATGTAAGACTCAGGTAGTAACGCGCCCGAGCTGAGCTATTGGCCAAGCATGTATAATTCATACTAAGCCCCTGTGTGTTTATTTGGGAGCTGCTGGCAGGAGAGACTTCATCTACAAGCCACAGCCATGGCCTAAGGGCCCAGCTACTTTAGTGGATGGCAGACCCTGGCATCTCCTATGAGATGCTAGTTTTGCTGTCATGAAGAGAGAGAAAGGTTACAGGGTCATGGAGGCCTGTACTCCAACTTCAAAGGAAGACCATGGGGCCAGGGGAATTCAAGAAGCTGTGACGGTGACAGCAATGGAGACTGAAGGCACCAGGAATATGGATATTTCCCAAGAAAAGCTGGGAACAGTGACCAAAGGCAAGAGCTGAAACAGCAGGGCTTCCAACCCCCCTGGCCCTCACAGTACCACACCACATGCCCAGATGCCGGCCATGGAGCTATGGGTACCACTGACCTTGCTGGGTCCTGGTTTGCTTTGGTCTGATCTTTCTCTGCTATTCCTTAGAGTGAAGTTTTTATTCTGTGTCATTCAGTAAGTCGGGAGCATGAGATTTGTCTCCCAACTTTTACTATTCAGGACGTAAATATGAGTAGGGAGTTTTGCCTGTGTGTACCTGTGAGCCACATGGGCCTGGTGCCTGCTGAGGCCAGGGAAATTCCATCTTCCTGGAAGTGGAATTACAGTTATGAGCCACCATATGGATGCTAAAAATTGAACCTGGGTCCTCCGGGAGAGCAGCCAGCGGCGCTCTTACCCACTTAGCATCTCTCCAGCCCTGGTTTCTGAGTTTTTACTGGTGCTCATAGTTAATAGTCTGAGCTGGGCATGGCAACACATGCCTTTAATCCAGCACTTGGGAGGCAGAGGCAGGTGGATCTCTGTGTGCTCAAATCCAGCATGGTTTGCATACTGAGTTCCAGGACGGCCAGGACTACATAGTGAGATTGCTAGGTGGTCAGGAGCCACTGGGACCAGCGGCAGAAGATATAGTTGGAAATGAGGTGTCCCTGGAAGGATAATGTACTGAAGGCTGGCCTTGGCTGGTAGGAGGTGCCAGAGGCTTGTCCCTGTCCCCTTGAGCTCCATGAGGTGAACAGCCTCTACCACACGTGCCCCAACCCCGTGTATACTGCCACCAACACCGAGGCAGGTGACCACAGACCAGCCCTTCTGAAACTCAGGTGGTTTTCTCTCAGGCATCCGGTCACAGCAGACACCTGCCAGCAGGCCTCACGAGAACCATACCTTGTTGGAAGCGTCGATGAACTTGACCCCTTTGTATGTGATGGACAGGATGATGGTCGGGACTTTCTTCATGTGCTCTGTAGACTTCTGTAGGAAATACGGGGCAGGCTGAGAGTGCTATCTGACCGTAAGGTCCATCCCTCTGTGGTGCAGTAGGCCCAGGAGGTGGTAAATGGCATTCCCACTTGCTGCTCTAGTCAGCCACCTCCCCACGTTTTCCCCTTTTATTCTCATGTTGTGCATATGCCAGCAAGAAGAGGGCATTGGTTCTCATGGAGCTGGAGTTACAGGTGTGAGCTGCCATGTGGGTGCTGGGAATTGAACCAGGGTCCTCGGTAAAGGGCACCAGTGCTCTTAACTGCTGAGCTCTCTCCAGTCCCTTACCCGCATTTTGGCACAGGCATCTTGTGTGGATTCTGTCCCTCGCAGATCTTTGATCAGCATGGAACCCAGATACTGTGGGAAGGGGCAGAAGGTGGGTTCAGGAACACGTGTGCTGTCGTGTAGGATGACCTAGCCAATGTGGGCCATCCTGCTGTTAGACACAGTCCTCTCTCCTGTCCCCTTAGCACAGCCGCCCCAGAGGGAAGGGAGGGTGGCCATCTGGGGGAGCGCGAGCGACTCACATTAGCCTCATAACCACAGGATTCAAAGATGAGTTTTTCTGGCTGGTGCTGCCAGCTCTGCACCGGGGCATAGGGGGCAGCCAGGCTGGGCGGACGGAGGGTCAGCTTGGTCTCACTGGGCTCCTCCTGTAAAAACACACACAGTTGGACACTGCTCACCTATTCCAGGGGAGCTCACAAATTCACCTCCTGGCCTCTAGCATACCCAAGAGTGGGGAAACCAGTGACCCCAGCAAGGGCAGAAGTCAGGTGCAGAGGGCAGAAGTCAGGTGCAGAGGGCAGAAGTCAGGTGCAGGGGGCAGAAGTCAGGTGCAGGGGGCAGAAGTCAGGTGCAGAGGGCAGAAGTCAGGTGCAGGGGGCAGAAGTCAGGTGCAGGGGGCAGAAGTCAGGTGCAGAGGGCAGAAGTCAGGTGCAGAGGGCAGAAGTCAGGTGCAGGGGGCAGAAGTCAGGTGCAGAGGGCAAAAGTCAGGTGCAGGGGGCAGAAGTCAGGTGCAGAGGGCAAAAGTCAGGTGCAGAGGGCAGAAGTCAGGTGCAGAGGGCAGAAGTCAGGTGCAGAGGGCAAATAGGCACCTGGGCAGCACTGGGGCCAAGGGAGGTGCTCTCAGGGCAAGCGCAGCCAGAAAGAGCTCTGGCACCCGAGATAGGAGCACGCACATAGCAGGATGTATGGAAACAAGCTGTAGGCATGTATCGCATAAAAATAAAGGCTGAAACCATGGAGCTGAGTCCTGGGCAAAGGATGCGATTTAAATGGGCCCTCTGCTAACAACTGGGGTAGTTCAGACAAGAGTCTATGCAGGGGATGGAGATACAGGTTCAGAAAAGAGCTCAGACTTCTACCATTATGTGCAGGCTCCACAGAGAACTGAACAACTGGCAGTGTTCACGTCTGTAAAATAAACAGCTGCAGAAAGGAGAGGGAGTGCGGAGAGAACAGGGAGACGCCCAGTGACGTGGAGTGTGTGCAGGGTGTCAGAGCTCTCCCAGAGGGGCAGGGATACCTGCCAAGCTGGGGTCCAGAAGGCTACTTGCAGCAAGGGGCAGAGCCAGAGCTTGGCAAGGCAGGAGGACAGACGGGCAAGCCCTGGAAGAATGTGTGAGGGTGAAGGCTCCAAAGGCTGAGCCCAGAATGCGAGACTGCACCAGCCTTGCCCTGGTGAAGCATAGGTAAGCAGGAAATATCTAGCTGTGCCCGCGAGTCTAAGAACAGGGGCGGCGGAGCACATGGGGAACTGGGTTGTGGTTCTGCAGGGTTGGTGGGACAGGAGGACAAGGAGCTTTCAGCTACACAGAAGGAAGCTCTGGGGACCAGGATGAGTGAGAGGATGGGATGGCCGTGGGAATGAGCAAGAGCCTGCAGGGCTAGATGGGAGGACCAGCCACAGGAGAGCCCCAGACCTGAAGATGGGAGGGGTGGAGGTGGCTTTTCTCAAAGCTCCTGCAGGCCCTTGGGTAGGGTGAAGTAGGCAGCAATGCTGCCTCCTGCTGCCGATCCCTGCAGGTTCTGACCCTTCCGCTCACCTGGACTCTGAAGCGCTCTACTCGAGAGGCTGCCCCAGGGTCGTACGGGCTGTCGTGGCGCCTCCTGCTGGTGTCTGCCGAGGGCAGCAGCAGCTCTGCTGACCGCCCTGTGCAGGAGTCACTCTGGCTCAGTGGGGATGACGTCTGGGAGATTAAGTCCTGGCACTGTTGGGCAAGAAACAGGTGAAATTCCCAGCTGAAGGTGTCGGCTGTTCTGAGGCTACCTAGGGTGAGCCCAGAGCTGAGGGGTGGAGAGCAAGGAGGTGCACAAGTGGCCAGGAGCTGTGGACAGAGGTGACTAGGCCTTGCCTGGTCCTTGGTTAGTGGCCATCTCGGCACCTTGGGATACAGACAAGAGGTGCCACCCTTGCAAAGGACAGAAGCCACTCTCCTGTGTGTGAGTCCAGCAAGAGAGGGCAGGGACTGCTGTCCGCTATCCTGAGTCATGTAACCAGGACGAAGACACAGAGTCATAGACCGTCTCCCTCCTTGAACTCACTCTTAGCTGGGAAAATCTCGGGGGCTTCTGGGGTGGCTCCTCATAGGGCCTTTCCGCAAGCGAGGCGATGATGCGTTTACGGTGGCCCAGCAGGTGAACCTTCAGGACCTGGTGGCGGAGCAGAGGGGTGGTGAGTGGAGCTGGGCTCCTCAGCTCCTCCTACCCTAGCCTCCCACGATGCACTCACATTGACAAGCTCCAGCTCCCAGAGGTTCTTCACAGTGTCGATGGAGCTGTAGCCGCTGGACAGGAAGGAATGGATGTAATCCTGCAGCCCCAGTGAGTCCAACCAGGAGGGCACCGAGGGGGGACTGACCCCATCATAGCCAAGAGCCTTCACCTGTGATGTGAGGAGGCAGAATGGCATCTGAGTCACAGAGCAAGAACCTGGAGACCAAGGGCTACCCCGAGACCCTCCCTTGGCACAGCCCATCACCACTCTGAGGTAGCAGCTGCTGGATAGAAGGAAGCGGGGCCAGTAGGTGAAGCAAGATGGAGGGAAGGGGTGACAGACTGCTTCTCCATGAGCTCTGGGAGGTCACAGGCTTGTAAGGGCAAGAATATAGTGTGTGCCAGTGAAGCAGTTACTTCCTGAACTCTGGGTTAGTAAAAGGATCCATGGGACACTGGCCACGGCACTAACAGTCAAGGGATGGAGGCTGTAGCCTCAGAGAAGCCAGGCTTCTCTGCTGCTGCTGCTGCCTCTCATGCCTGCTCCTCTCAGGCTTCTCTGGGGTCAAGATAGGCTAGCCTGGGCTCTAATGAGTCAAAAGAGACTCCAAAGAGGGCACCAGTAACAGGTCAAGACTATGGGCCTCAGTTCTGTGCCAAGAGGACCCTAGATCCTCTTGTCCAATCAGATAAGACACTTATTACCTCTGAAGCCCTGCAGGCTTTACAAGGAAGGAACGAAGACCCTGTGCCCTGCTGGGCTCTTATGGGGGCAGACATGGGACGGACAAGACCTGCATGCCCCAGAGCCAGGCTCCTTTCCGCTCAACCTAGGTCAGAGGCTCTCAACCTTCCTGATGTCTTTAATACAGTTGCTCATGTTGTGTTAACCCCAACCATAAAGTTACTTTGTTGCTACTTCATAGCTGTAATTTTGCTACTGTTGTGATACACAGGATATCTGATACACAGGCTGTCTGACAATGTGACCCCTGTGAAAGGGTCAGGGCCCACATGTTGAGAACCACTGGTCTAGGCATTCAAGAGGACAGCCCTGGCCTGGGAGCGTCACCTTAGGCAGGGAGCGTGCAGCCTGCAGCAGCTTCCGCCGGTGCTGTGGGTCGCTGATGCCAATCTCCCTCAGGTCTTGCTCTTCCATCACATTGGAGCCCTGAGACAGAGAAGAAGTTAGGTCCTTCCTATACTGGAGCCTGGCGTCCTGTGAGTCAGCCTGCCATGACCCCATGCCAGATTTTTCTGTTGCAGCTACTAAGTGAAGGCAAGAAGACGGCCAGACAGCGGCCAGCATAAGCTGAAGGCAAACCTGCTCAGACTGTCCATTCCCAGAGCGCATGGAACTACACTCACAACCCCTTTGCATCACCTCGGAGGGAAAGCTCTGCGTTCCCCACAGACATAGCTCTGTCGGCCAAAGCTGAGTGGACAAAGGCAGGCTGACAGCGCTCAGGGAGCCAGCCTTACAAGGGAGCCAGAGTCAGAACTATTCAAGCGGAGCCCCCTGCCGTAGGAGCGGGTCCAAGCTAAGCTGCACTCAGCATTCCCACTGACCTCCACTACAGAACAGACCAGTCAGCTGGGGAAGCTGCAGAGACAGCATGGCATCGCACTGAGTCTGACAGGGAAGTAGGGACAGCTGGCAGGCCACAGGCCTGCTTCCTAGGTGCTGCTTTTACACGGGCTACCCGACCTCACCACCACAATGATGATGAGAAAATGGAGACACCTGGCAATCAGAATTTTCCAGAATTTCTATATCTGGGGGCAGAGCTTAGATCTGAACCCAAGCAGTGAGACCCCACACCCGTAGCCCACGAGACTGTCCCATTGTAACAGACACACGGGGTTTTTTTTGGGGGGGGAGGGGGTGTTGAGACAGGGTTTCTGTGTAGCTTTGGAGCCTGTCCTGGAACTCACTCTGTAGACAAGGCTGGCCTCCAACTCAGAGATCCGCCTGCCTCTGCCTCCCGAGTGCTGGGATTAAAGCCGTGTGCCGCCACCGCCCGGCTTGTATTGTTTTCTGAGACAGGTTTCTCTCACTGTGTAGCTCTGCCTGCAACTAAGAGACACCCCTGCCTCTGCGCCTTGAGTGCTGGGATTAAAGGTGTGTGGCACCGCCGCCCCACTGACACCTCTCCTTAGTTCTTCTGATTACCCAGGCCAGGCCACTTATGCAGGCTGCCTTTCTCTGAAGCCAGTGGAGTCCCTGGGTGAGGGCATGCCCACTCCCAGTGCTGGAGGAAGAACGCCCTGTTCCAGGTCATTCAGAAATGGCACCACCAGAATCCCAAGTCACCGAGCTCTGCTAGGCCAGAGCTGCAGACAGCACCTATCGCTTACAGAGTGTGTACATTTAAGATCCTGGCAGATGTGTCGCATCAGCGCTGGGTGTCCCAGCGAGGCTGATGTCTTCTCACTCTGTTCAGGCATCCATCAGGGTCCCTGCTTCATGGTCTTCCTGCTCTGCACACAGCCTTCTGGGTTACAGGCGCTCTCTCTGTCCCTGCTTGGCTTGTGTGTGCTTTCCAGGGAGGAGACAGACCCTCTCTCCGAGAAGGCTAGTTTAGCTACCTCTCCTTGGCCACAGGACATACCTCCTTTCTACCACGCAGAGTCTGGGGCCAGCTTCTAGGTCACCCCGCTGTTTCTGCAGTTGCTCTGCTTCTCCCAGCGACCCTACAGGCTTCCTGTAAAGCCCTTCTTTTCCACACCTGAAAGGGCTCAGCTCCCGTGGCACGTGTTGAATGTCGGGCGTGGGAATCCCTTCTAGGGTTACTCTTTAAGCACTGGCATTTTCTGGTGTCTAGCGATGTCTTTGAGCCAGTTGTCTTCCCTTCCGGGCAGAGCGTCTGTAGAATTATGTCCTGTGGGTCTAGAATGGCTGCTTCCGGGCCTTTCTGAATTCCATCTAGAAAGGCAGGTATCCACTCCCATGGTGCACTTGGACATGTTAGGCAGCTTGGGGCAGTGCATGCAGACCATGGCCTGGTGGCCCCACCTCTGCCTCAGCACCTGTGTGTGGGACAAAGATCCTACAGAGGACACCACCAGCTTGAGAGCTCTGTAATAGACTTTGCTGTTTCGGGGCTGCAGAATGCACCCCCTGCAGCTGCTTAGGATTGCATCTAAGGTCTGCTGATAGGTAAGGCCACACACCCAGACTGTCCCTCTACCGACACGTGGTAAACCAACACGAACTTCCAGAAGCTTGGCCAACAGTCACTTCCATCATGCTCCTTCTGCCAGCTCTATGTGAATCAAACCCTAGTCCAGGGTCAGGAGCTGTAAGCTCTGAGGAAGACGAGGGAACAAATGAAGGAAGGGTACAATGGGAAATATGGCTCCCAGAGCAGTTCCTGCTGTGTCCCTAACTCTCCCTGGGACCTTGGCAGTGTCAGATGCCATGGGAAGGGGATGGTGTTTGCATGGATCGGGGGATCCTGCTGCCCCGACAGGCCCTCTCCTGACTCAGCTTGCACCTTCTTCCCTACGGTTTATCTCTCTAGAGTACTTACAAAGCTCAGCACAGCACAATGCCAAGTTGTTACTGCACTGTTCTGTGTCTATGTTGCTACATCACTCTTTTTTTTTATTGAGAAAAGGAAAAAAAAAATTTCCTCCTCCTCCCAGCCTCCCATTTCCCTCCCCCTCCTCCCACCCTTCTCCCCCTCCCCCCACTCCTCTCCCCCTCCCTCTCCAGCCCCTGACTGCTACATCACTCTTGACCAACGGCTGAGCCCACTGTTAAAGAGGGTTGACTGCATATTCTGTCTGCTGGACACTCACTTTCTTCTCTTATTACCTAAACAATACAGGGTAACAAATGGTGGTCTAGCAAATCCTGGGGAGAGAGGGCGCAGAAGGCCCTGCAACAGTAGGCAAGGGCTGGACAGCTAGAGAGCAGGGCAGCGAACCAGGTCTTAGACCAAGAATGAGGCTGTCACCAAAAGCAGCGCCAGTCACGATCTGTCCGTGCTCCCGACATCAGCTGACCCTAGTGAGGAGCCACGTAGCCATGCATGCCTTCACAGTGGGGTAAAAGACACATTTCAGAGACCAAGGCAGCCAGGCTGAGGCCAGGGGAGGGGCAGATGGCAAGGGGTTGCAGGGGTAAGTACATTGGGGAGTGTAGACCTCAATTTGAAAGACCTTATCCTCCCAGGTTTAAGGCTCCAGGGAAGCCCAGCTGAGGGGAGGGAGCTTCCCAGCTCCACACAGCAGGCAGCAAAGGCTGGATTCCACCACTTCCTTGAATCCAAAGGAGGGACATGGTAAGAGGCACAGTCCTGGGCTCTGCCAGACGCCACATAGGCAGCACCCCAGCAATCAGGTCCCAGACTAGAGGGTGACCTCTCTGATCTCCTTCCCTTCTGTGGATCTAAGGAGCAGCATCTGTGAAGGAACATTCCAGATAGGAGACGGGCAGGAGGGAAGCAATGACAGCTGCACTGCTTTCTGGTCTTTGGGCCAGGATCAGCTGCAGAATGCAAAGGAGACCCCAGAGCAGGTTACTCCATGGGAGGGGCGGAGAGGCTAGGATGCACTCAGCCCATCCATGTGCTGTGCTGTGTGTGGCTGGTTGTTCTCAGGACTGAGGATCTCGCTCACTAGAGAGCACTACCAGAAAGAGCAGAGCAGGGAGCCCCTCCTCTACCATCTGTCTCCGGTTTGTGTGCACTGAGTCCTGCCTTCTCCACATCAGGAAAGTGTTTTCCTCAGCAGGAAACTTATGCAGCTTTACTCCAGAACACTTGGAAAGTGAAGGATGCACAAAGCAATTGTGAAGGCCATTTGTCTATCTGTCCCCTATGGTAGGGGACACCATCATTTTTCTTTTCCTTTGTTTTTTGCCTCAAGATGGTATATTTTTCTCCGTGAGTTAATGTTTGTTGCCCTCCGTTCTGTTTTTGAGACAGGACCTCACTATGTTTCTGGGGTTGGCCTGAACTGTGTAGACCAGACCGACTGGAACTCACAGTAATGCATCTGTCTATGCCTTCAGAGTGATGGGGTTCAAAGCGTGTGCCACCACTGCCTGGCCTTAGACACCTTTGAACAGTGCACACCATCTTGCTGTCTCCTTGTGGAAAGAACTGTGGAGGTGCTGGGGTTTATCCAGGCAGGTTCTTGTTGTCTCTGTCCTTTTGATCTGGGAGAGGCAGAGGTGCTGGTTTTCTCCCCACTTCTGCAGCGTAGGTTTGCTGGGCCAGAGTCAGCCGAGAGTTGGTTGGTTTCAGTCTCTGCAGGCACTGGTAGGCAAAAGCAGCGCAATCCGTGCAGATGCCATTGCTGCCCGCTCTGCTCCAGAGGAGGGCATGCACCACCCTATGGCCCCTCAGCCTCCACGCAGTAACAGCCGCTCGCCAGCTAGGGTAATAATGGCACGCTCCCTTTGGAGCTTATGCGAATGCATGGGACCATGAAGGACACTGGTAAACAACATCTCACAGGTAGGATGAACAGGGAGGAGGAGGAAGAGGAGCACCCTGTCCAGAGTCGCTGGAAAGGATCTAGAGAATACAGTCTTCACTTAAGCTCTCTAGAGAATACATTGTCTTCACTTAAGCTCATTGAACCAAGCAGAGCTGTGAGTTTTCTCCTGAGCTTTCCCTGGCTACTTCATGGTGACCACAACCTGGCCTTCCCATGCAGGTGTTATGAGCATGTGCCACCACAGGTCAGGCTGCAGAGCACAGAGAAGACAGATTCTCCTCATTTCCCTTATCAGCCTTTTGGAGGGTGAGTGGGTGGAACTTGGATCAAGGGACCATCAGTACCTGGGGCACCTGAGTTTAGCTCTCACATGGCAAGGCTGATGTAGCCCAAAAAGGACATAGGCTTTTCTGAGAACGCGCCTGTCTACGCCTCATCTCTACCAACCTTCTGCTTTGGGCTCCATGTCAATACAGAGAAAATTGTAGCCCAGCAGTTGGCTCACAAAGTGCTGTGCAGAGACTCGGGGAGTGGGGAGGGCGAGAAGCTGGATGCTGTGCAGCATCTGGGCAGCTCTGCTCCAGTTGGCTGTGGTTCACAGACTAGCAACAAAGGTAAGGGGGGAGGCACAGAAAGAAGAGTGGCCATAGGGAGCACAGGGGCCAGGGCAGGAGACCCATGGGTCAAGCAGCGTGGCTTGAAGGGAACAGCCTGCTGAACAGGACGGCACCGTAGAGCCTGGGGATTTGGGTGACAGAGAAGGGGCTCCTGGTCAAGCGGTGCTGAGAGTCAAGACCAATAACCTCAAAACAGACAGGAACCCCATGGGAGCCTATCAGCACTGCAGCAGATCCCGTGGAGAAAGAAAGCAGTGGGGGCAGCTGGAGGCCTCTCAGGTGCAGCATAAGAAGCAACTTCCTTCCCATCCTGTCTGCTTCTAACCAACTTGGAGCCACATTCCCACCCTAACACTCCACACCGAATGTCCTGACACTTTCAACCACCTTCTGGAGGCCAAAGTGGACCTGGACGCAGGCCTTCTGCCTGGTGGGAGCCACAAGACAAAGACCCTTCAACACAGCGTTCAGAGACATCAAGGCACCTCACATGACTTTCAGGACTCCAGGGTCAGGTGCAGCTCACCCTCCGGCCTCATCAGGCCCAGCTCTCAAGCCAGCTTCCTGTCTCATCGCCAGCAGTCTCTAGCCCATCACTTGCTTTCCCCTTTAGACTCGGTAAGCACAGGTCCAAGTTTGGAACTAGTCTCTGCTGTAACCTCAGTGCTCTGGTCCTCCACTGTCCCACCTGTGGTCCTGGGTGACGCTGCTCTGGGTCCTGTGTGCAGCAGAAAGTGGCTGTTCTACAGCATCTAGAGCCTTCACTCAGGTCTTAGCACGAGGATGCTCCACCATGCTACTGCTTTCTGAACTTGATGTCTGCAGCAGGATCTGCCATTCCTTCACCCCCATTTACAGCAGAAGACAGAGGAAACCCATTATTCCCTCCAAAGGATGAGTCGCCCAGAGATTAGCACAGGTGTATCTTGGCAGTCCTTACACCGCCCATGCACAGAGCAGCACAGGTGTATCTTGGCAGTCCTTACACCGCCCGTGCACAGTGGGTCATGCATCCCTTTGTGCGCTCCCAACAGCCCCACATGGTCTCCCTCTCTCAGATATTCTTTGATCCTACGTCTTTTCACATCCATCACAACCCTCTGGCTTCAGAGCCACCATCACTTATGCCATCAGCACTTCTACGAGGCTGTCACTGTGGCTCAGCAAGCTTGAAGGCACAGGTGTGCCAGCATCAATGCCCTCCTTCTGAAATGACTGAATGTGTTTGCTCCTTACTCCTGAGAAAGCCCTTTTCCTGTGAACATGGTCTGTGGTGAAGATGAAAGGGCCATGAGGCAGTGTGGTGGCTGCTGGCTGGCAGGGCAGCCACACCCCCTTGCCAAACCCAGGTTTCCTGGTCCTAGCGTTGAGTCCCGCATCAGTCTCCATCAGCACAAGAGCTCAGGTAGCTCTCATGGCCTTGGCTTGACCCTTTCTGCCTACAGGCAAGGGTGTGGAAGAGGTTCAAGCCATAAAGTGCTAGCCCAAATTCATCATAATCACCATGGGAACAGTCAGGACTAAGAGCATGAGCCCAGACAACATAGAACCTGTAAAGCCACCATGAAGCTTTCAGTTGTCTAGAGGACATACGTCTTCTGTGTGGCCCCAAAGTGAAGCTGGGGGGGGGGGGGAGGGCAGACAGAAGGCATAAGGACTCAGTGTGAATGTGAGCATTATAGCAGCCAGAGCACTGGGTCCTCCGTCACTGAAGACATCAGGGCAGAGACGATCTGGCATGGTGAAAGCAGATGGGCCTGGAACACGCCTTAGCATGCACAGAGCTCCACCGTGCTCACGAGCACCCTGACAAACAAGTGTTCAGATGTTCCCAACACATCTGGATCTGGGGTTACTGGAGCTACTTTGCATTCAGTAGGAACATCTCCAGGGAATCTTAGAACCAGGTGAAACATTCACAGCCTACTGTGAACCAAACTGGATGGGGTACACCAGGACCACGTGCTTAGTGAGTGTTTCCGGGATGGGAACATGCCTCTGCTAAAACTTATTCTCAAGTTCACCTGGCAGTTAACATACAATTACCCAGGATGGGGTTTGCCACTCAGGCCCCTCCAGGTACCTGAAGCAACATACTAAACTCAGGTGTGCTCAGGCCACTGCTGGGTGGGCGCTCCTGTGGATGCTTCAGACCAAAGAGCTCTGCCCTGGAGGACCCAAGGTGTTGGCTACAGGGTGGAGGGTTTTTCTGGTACAGGCTCTGCACCTTATATGGGCATGTGGTCCAGGGTCCTGCTTCCCCAAAAAGTTATCTAGGCATTTTCTGGTTTGGTTCTAGGTAGGGTCAGGTAGCCCTGGGGTTGCTCAAGGCCTGGAGAAGTAACCCTTTCCAAATTTAGGAGCTGTGTCCCATAATCTGCAGGCTCAGCCCCTGAAGCACTGGGGAGGTCTGCAGATCTCAGCCACTCTTGTTTGACCTGCCAGCGGCACAGTGAAGGGAGGACTTAGAAGGAAAGATCACAAAACCCCACAGCCAGGGCCAGTCGTCCTTCCCACTGACAGACCCACCGTCTTTCTAGTTCATGGGCTTTCCCTAAAGAGTGTGGCGAGTCCGAAGCAAGAGTCCAGGAACCGTAACACACCCACACAGCTTAAATTTTACAAAGGGAAAAACAATTTTAAAAACTGCAGCTTTTAAAGTTTGAAAAAGAGCCCAACCTTGGCTCACTGCAGACTTGCACCCTCCAGGTCTTCCCTGGAAACCAAAGCAAGCCCCGCGAAGACATGAAACCCTGTGCTGACAGAGTAAACCCCACCACCCCGCTGGGGCTCTGTGCCCTCACATGAGGGCAGGACAAGTGCACGTAGTGACAGCTGTGCTGTGAGGGATGGTCTGCAGCCCCAGGACTAAATGGGAGGAACAGGGCAGTGGGTTTGCTCACTTACCAAGGTGTGCAGCTTCTAAATAGTTCTGCCACACCCAAAAACGAGAGAACGGACGGCACTGTCCAGAGAGTGGCTTCTTGCCTGGTAACTCCCAAGCACACATTTTCATTTTGCGAGTTACCAGCAGTGTGGCCCTGGCCAAACCACGTAACGGGAAACAGGTGAGGACAACAGCACACGCCATGGTGCTGGGAAGTCACAGAGCTCACATACATGAACTGCCGACATTGGCACACAGCCCACTGTAAGGACATCGGCTGTCATGGCTGCTGTGATGTCACAGCTCCTGGGCATGCCTTGGCTCAGGTACTGCCTTGAATGACCCACACTGGGCAAGGTTTCTAGGAGACAGACAACAGTGGGACCACTGACTCCTAAGCCCGGAGTCTAAGCTGAGTCCCCACTCCCCGGGGAGCGGAGAAGCCCCGGTTATTCCATTGACCCCTTGTATTCTGAGTGCAGACTGAACCTTGGAAAAGCAACCAAAGTGACATTCAGCCTTTCCCTGACAGCCTGAGGTCAGGCACATGTGGCCCTGGCCTCTGTCTCACTTGGCTGGGGAGACAGGGACCTTTGCTTCAGTGACAACAGCAAAGGTCTGAAAAATAAGAAAATTCCTGGCATCCACCTGAGATGGGACTTGGGTCCCCATGGGGTACCTGGCTGTCCTGTCCACCAAAGCTGTTGGGGACTGGCTCCACATGATGGCCAAGATACCCAAGCATCCAGTCTAAGAAGCAGGGATCCTTGGGAGAGTACTCCACCCGAATGGCATGGGACAGAGACAGTGGGGCCAGGAGTGTCTGCAAAGTTGGCATCAGGCACTCTGCTGACTTCCTAGCTCCAGCTGGCTCAGGTCAGGGAAGCAGCACCAGTCGTGGCCACTCACCAGGAAGCGGACATCATCAAAGCCATTCAGCAGCAACTTGTTCTCATACTGCTGCAGGCCGACTGACTCCAGCCACTCCCCGACGCTCTGCTCCAGCGTCCGAGAACCTGACGAGAGAGGAATCGGCAGACGCTTGAAAAGGGAAAACCCATTAAGGCGGTAGCAGCGGCACTCAGAGGAAGACAGATGGCACTGCCACATCATAGTCATTACCATAAAGCAGCCAGACTATGTACAAGAGAGCAGAGAGAGCAGGCACGCAGCTTCTGCTCTCTCCTCCGTGCAGGCAGGGCAGAGCTGCCTGGTACTGTACACAGGCCAACTCGGGCGGCTGCTGCCTACTCACACCCCACCGTGTGAGCTGTCCGGGACCAGGGCTGAGGCTGCACATGCACGATCTTGCCCTAGAGGTTGGGGGAGCCAACCCCCAGCGGTCTCTGGGTCAACTCCTAATCAGTGTCCACACAGAAGCATGGCAGAAAGTCTGTCCCCATAGGCATTAGAGGGGGACACTAGAGCTCCTAAGTGCCCACCAGCCTGGCCGTTCCTCTCCATGCAGCTTCTAGAGCTGCTGCAGGCTCTGGCGAGGGGCTAGTTCTGCGACCTTGCAGCATAAACCAGTCAGGCGCGAGCGAACGCGCGTCTTCATGCAGCTGAGGGGCACAGGCACACAGCGAGGGCTCCGGGAAGGAAGCAGTGGCGGCTGTTCACAGGGGCCCAGCACATGCAACACAAGCAGCAAACAACATGGCAGGGGGAGAGAAGGGACTTTTACTTGTTGTCCCCCAGCAGTCCCGGAATAAGCAAACCATGGCCCCAGCTCTTTGCGCTCCTAGCTCAGGACAGTCAGGGGGCAGTGTGGGAATCAGGCTCAGGTGTGGCTCTGCTGGGCCAATGGCATGGTCTTCTACCGGGCTGTGTGGCCAGCAAACTTGGTTGCCTCCGGGGCTGAGACGCTGAGTGAGAAGCTGCCTTCCTGGTCTGGGTTGGCTTCTGGGAGTGCGGTGTTGTTCATTCTCCCTGTCTTCAGTGGCGGTTCCCGTGACCCGCCTGCTTAGGGGAAAGCCGCCTGGCTGTTCAGTTCTTGGTCAAAGAAGACAAAACCCAAGCAGATAAAAGAAGGAGCCGGCAGCTCGTCTATTTACACTGCGCTGCTCTCTGGCCGTGTGGCACACACAGCTTTCTTCCTGGGGTCTCTGGTCTCACCATCTCCACAGACGCACAGGCAAGGGGAACAGTTATTCACTGTGCTCTACGGTCGGCACAGGACTGTGGCAGTGCAGGGAGGATGAGGGTTCAGTCCTTCCCAGCAGTCCTCAGATGTTCTGAGCTGGACACCTTCACATATCCCACCTTACTTCTTTGGTTCTTGCAATAAGAACGGGTAAAAGAAAGATAAAGAAGGGGAGAAAGAGAGAGCTTCAAGGCAGGAGAAAGAAGAAGCAGCTACAGAGACATCACCTCCCAGGGACTCTTCTCAACACGGTGAAAGTCATTCTGCCGTTACTGGCAGTCTCTGCCCTTCAAGGCAGGACAATGCCAATTTGCTTGTTTTAGGGACCCTGCTGACCAACTGTGGCAGCCGTCACTCTTCTCCTGTCCTCCGCAGAACAGATGGTGGGTGGTGACAGGGTAGTCTCTGGATGCAGGCTGTAGCAGTGTTCCAAAATGCCGAGTCTGGGGGCTCCTAGACTTGCCCTTGAATGGAAAGTCAGCTCCAGGAACCTACGCAGCAGGCTCTTGAATGCTCACGAGCTTGTATGGCCCCCACTGCTGATTCATTCCTGCTTGTAATCCCAGGGCTGGGCAGCTGTGGTCCAGGCTGCCGCTGGTGGATGTGCACGCTTAGAGCCGCAGCAGAGTGCTTTGTCTCAGGCTCCGGGGCTCCACACTGCTGGCTGCCGGCTGCCGGCTCCTCAGTCCTTGCTCACTCTCGTGTCTGGCCCTCCCCTTCCTCCCCTCCCACCCTTCCCCCTTCTATGCTCAGGAAAATACATCAGGGATCGGACATTGGAGCAGAAGCTGCTGCTGCTGCTGCTGCTGAGGGAGCCAGAGTGAGATGACAGGTTTCCTGGGAGCGATGCTGCGGTGCAGACGAAGGCACCTCAAGTTTGGGGGGCAGGAAACTCTTACAGGCACAGAATAATCATGCCTGTAACTTGGACTGGCAGTTTTGAGAACAACCAGGAGAGGGGACCAGGGGCAACACAACCCACAGTTAAGTTAACTTGTCCCTTTAGGGAACGTTGTCCTGTTCAGCAAAAAAACGGCAAAGCGAGGCTACTGCACCTGCTGCTCCTCAGATGAGGACGCAGGGGCCAGGCAAGGGAGCACACACCTAGAGTAGGACCCTCAGCAAGGGACAGCCAGGGAGGGGGAAAAGGTCACAGATAGACAGGAACCACACGGCACCGGCAGCATTGTGTCCAGAGGGACCAGGCCTTAGGAGGCTACACTCGGAGCTACTCAATAGTGAATGGGGAGTACAAACAGAAGGAAGCCAGGCTATCGTCTCTACAGGGCAGGCCTTTGTTAGTGTGATGGACTGCTGGTAGCTGGCAGAGGCATGAAGCAGTTGTAAGACATGTCTTTTGGGGATTTGGGTATCTAGCTTCAGTGTCATAGAAATGGGCATGGCTTCCATTCACTCAAGCGCTTACTATGCGGTAAGCGGCTAAGAGGTGCTGGAAGGAGCCTGGCACTCAGGTAGGATGAAATGAATGACTTGCCCTGGAGTCTGTATTTAGAACCAGGATTTGAACTCAGGGCAGTGCGGCTCCAGGATCCCAGACTCTGCCCAGCAAAGCCCATTTCCTTTCTCAAATGTGCATAGGACCCGTCCCGCCTCCATCAGGCCTCTTGGCAAGGCAAGGATGTCTAAGACCGGGAAGGGCCAGGAAGACTGCTGGGTCAGTGCTAAAGGAGGTGCAGGCACGGAACCCTGGAGAGGGGGCACACTCATCAGAAAGGGAGGCTGGGCCTCCTCCGAGATGGCCTAGTTCTGGGGTCTGAAGGAGGGCTCTGGGGCACTTTAGGGACCTCTCTTCTGAGAAAGAAACCTGGCATGATGGCCCATTTCACAAAAAGGAAAAGCAAGACAGACCTTACCCCAATGGCTTGGATGAACAGAGTGGCCTGTTCTGTGGGGATCTGGGTAACACGGGCAGAAGACTGAGAGATCCCGGAGACTCTGACAAGTGCTGGCAGGGAGCACACTCACCCAGCCCAGACTGCCAGAGTAGTAAACAAGGCATATGGGGCCATGTTTTCAGGACCAGCTGGTGCCAGGGCCACGTCAGGAAGTAACCCCAGTGTGGCCATTCTGATGAAGTCCGAAGCAATGAGCGACCGGACAGCCACATTACAACCCCTTTTCTTCACAGCCAGCCTCACGTTCAATCCATACACTTGCCCCCAGAATGCAGGGCCGTTTCTCCTTAAGGTCCAGAGCAGGGCGTGGCCCAGGCTGGCCCCTTTCTCCTACAGACGTCTGTTTTGGGTCAGAGAAGAAGCTGAGGCTGCCAGGGCCAGGGAGAGGCCTGTGTTTTTACAAGGTGGGGAGCAGTACAGTACCTGAGATCTTCTGCTGTTCCTGAGAAAAGTCAATTCCTTCTCCAATCGAGCTCATGATTTTCTCAATCTGAAACAGAAGGAGGAGAGTAGAAGAGGGGGTTAACTCGGGGTCAGCATTGCCAGCTCAAGGCCAGCCCCACCTAGCTACCCTCCCAGGGTCTAAGGCAGGATGGTGTGGACTGAGGATGAAGACGCGACCCCTTTCCTGGACTCGGAAGCCTCACTCTCCAGCCCAGTGGTCTGTACTAGTCACTGCTCGTCGGCAGAACTGGGGTTTCCCGAGGACACAGTGCCAACTTTGCTCTGTTATGCTCCAAGCACCTAGAGTCATGCTTGGCAGACCGTGAGCACGATGCAGATAAGAGGTGGCCATTACTGCTAGCCCTGAGGTGTGTGTGTGGGAGGGGGCTGTGTAGCCCTGGATGGCAGGCTAGATGAAGTTTTGCATGCACTGGGGGAAAACAGACATCAACACTGACCTTCCTCTGGACCACAGCAGAGACAGTGAGCCTCAAAGCAGCTAAATGGCCTCAGCACAGCCCCTGGTAGGGACCACCTGTCTCAGCACCTGGCTTTGCTTACTGGGGGCTGGAATCAAGCTGCCCCATCTGCGCCTCAGTCCAGTGTGTTCGGCCAGGGGTAGGTCTAGACAGCCAGACAAGGATCGCCTGTCCCCCTTTCTTGGGCTGCAGCGATAATGAGCTCATTCACAGCTTCTTCCAAAGCCATGAAAAGAGGGACCTTTTGTACCAAGGCTTGGATGCTCTTCCCCTAAGTGCAAGTAAGGAGCCTGGGTCTGACAATCAGAAAAACAACTCCCAGCTGGCCTCCAGCTGGCAGACAGGGCGTGCAACTGACACCCAGGGGAGCACAGACTAAGTGCCTTCTCTCTCCCTGAGGCCAGTCCAGCTCACATCCTCAGCTGGAGCTCAGTCAGAAAGCACAGGGACACAAGTGAAGTAAAGCAGCCTATGCGCAGACTGTGGCGGGGATGTGTGCTTGAGAGGCAGTTCCAGGGTGGGTCTGCACTGCCCCTGGAGTAAACAGCTGCCACATGTGTCCCTACATGATTTCAGGTGCTGACCCAGATAGTCAGGAAAAGACCATCAACCTCTAAAGTCTGGGATGTAAATACATAGAGACTGGATTAACTCTATACCATGCTCACAGGAGATGCGCAATGGAAATCAGCTTGTGCTCACTGTCCTCTGTTCCTATGAGGGTTCCAGCCTACTAAAGCCTAAACTTGAGGGTCAAATAAATATTTTTATTGTGTATGGGTGTTTTGCTTGCAATAATGTCTAAGCACCACATGTGTGCCTGATGCTTGTGGAGGCCAGCACAGGGCACAGCATGCCCTGGAACTGAAGTACAGATGGTTATGAGCCACCACATGGGTGCTGGGAATCAAATCCAAGGTCCTCTGCCAGCAGCAAGTGCCTTTAAACCCCGAACCATCTCTTCATCCCACTCAAAAAAAAAAAAAAATATATATATATATATATATTTTAAATTTTTGAGACAGGGTTTCTCCATCTAACAGTCCTGGCTGTCCTGGAACTCACTTTGTAGACCAGGCTAGCCTTGAATTCACAGATATGCACCTGCCTCTGCCTCCAAGTGCTGGGATTAAAGGCACGTGTGCCACCACTGCTTGGCCCCAAAAATATTTTGACTCGTGTTACTTTTGAGACAGGATCTTACTGTGTAACCATGGCTGGCTTAGAACTCACTACACAGTCCAGCCTTGCCTTGAATTCAGAGATCCTGGCTCTGCCCACCCAGCAAGTCACCATGCCTGGCCCTTGATGTGTACGTCAGAAACTACAAGACTATTCAGAGACCAGCATGCCTCCTGCTTGCCTTCCATTACCTTTCCTGTCCACCCTTTTAGATCACTTCCCAGACACGGGCAAACATACAGACAGCCCTGCTCTTGCACCCCGCAGACATATCTTGCTTTTCCCATTAACCAAGTTCTGGAGCTTTGTTCTCGAAATGAGCCACACTGACAGAGCAGCTCTCCAACTACGTGTCTAACAGTTGCTGGCACTGCCGGGGCTGCAATGAGCGGTTCCGCACATGTCTTGTGCACATTTACAAGCACGTGACTGGGGTCACTTCTGTGTGTGTGCTAAAAGTCACAGCTGAGTGGGAGGTGGGTCGGTGGTGAAGTGCTGTCTGCGAATGTGTGGCCCCGAGTAAGGATCCCACAGATTCGTGGATAATGACAGTAATAACGGATGTGGGAGCTGCACCTGTAAACTCAGCACCGACTAAGATGGCAGGTAGGGACAAGAGAGTCCCCAGCTCACTGGCTCGCTAGCCTGGAATGCAGTGTCTTAAGGAGGAAGGTGAAGTCGGCCTCTGACCTCCACAAATGCACCGTGATGAAGCATGGGAGTGCCTGCTGCACTTACATATGACACCTGCGTGTGCATGGAGGCAGAGCCAGCGGCAGGTCACAGAACCCCTGCTCCCATCCTCAGCAATTCTGCTGAAGGTCTTCCAGGAACGGAGCTCAACAATGCATGCTGTCAGCTCCTTTCCTCTGCAGGGCATCTATCTGTGACATTTGTCTTCCCTAGAGTTACAGCGTTTCTGTATGTAACTCCAGCACGGGGGCTCCTGGAGAGGCTCGCCTGGCCCAGCCTAGAAGACACCTCAGGGCCAGTTCTCAAAGCCTGGGTTACCTGATCTAATTATAGACACCTCACAGCCAGGCAAACAGCAGTTACTCAATAAATCCTGCTCCCTCGCCTTCCTTTTTCTTTCTAGAACATCTGTAGAAGAGCCAGGCGCTCAAGGAGGGAGACCACATGGGGGAGAACGACCTTCATTCCCGAGGTGGTGTCAGAGTGGGAAGATGGGGACATCTACGGTAGGGTCCCCAAGAGTGAAGTCAAGTGCATTTTTTCCCCGAGCACGGCACATGTGAGTGAGTGAACGAGTGAACGAGCAGGCACTTTCCATTACGATGGCCTAGCAATGAAAAGTCATTGTCCAAGTCACAGTCCGTACCATGGAGAGAGGGCAGCAGTGGGTGGTGGTCCCGTGTATTCTCCTATTCCTGAGATTTCCCAGAGGGCCATTTGACATGAGTGCTGCTTGACCCCAGAACCACCCACAGGTGTCTGGAGGTTGGCACAAGCCAGGGTTTCCGCACTGTTCTGTGCGCCTATGCCAGTGGACACAGCCCTGTGAGCTGCCACGCTGAAGGGTCCAGTGTGTGGAGGACCTGCAGGAACAGGCCAGTCTTCCGACAGCAACTGGAACCTACAGAGGTGACATGGGTGTCTGGGAAGGGTTCCAGGCAGCCTTAAGTAGGACTGTGGAGTCACAGGGGCTGGGCTTTGCTTTCCCTGCTTCCACGCACAGCCCAGAAGCAGAGGACCCGGCACCTGCAGCTCTGGTGAGCAAGGAGAGGCAAGGGGCAGGCGGACGCCACCCCACGCACGCGGGGTGGGTTAACTGAACAGGGAATGCTGAGGAAATGAGTGTTCCCAGAAGTCGGCTTTCAAGGGAGGGGGAGGTCTGCTGCTCACATGAGTGACTCTGGAGCAATGGCCGGTACTGCACTCCTCATGTGCTGCAACCAGAGAATGTCTACCCGTGTTAGTTAAGATAAGGCCCTGGAAGCGGTCACAGGGAAAATTCTTGTGTTAAAAAATGTTTTAAAGCCTGGCAGTGGTGCCACATGCCTTTAATCCCAGCACTCAGGAGGCAATGGCAGGTGGATCTCTAAGTTCGAGGCCAGCTTGGTCTACAGAGCTAGTTCTAAGACATCCAGGGCTACCCAGAGACACTCTGTCTCAACAAAGCAAAACCAAACAAAATGGAAATGACCCATTTCAGCAAATGTTCAGGATGCTTCTGTTCAGGTGGCTCCCCTGCCAGGGCTGTACAAAACACACTCCCAAATGGCTGGGAGCAAACACTGGCTATGCTGCTGACTTCTGCACAGAGCCCCCAGGACCCTGGATGCCTGCCTGCCTGCAGCTGCCCATGGGAGGGGGCCTGTCCAGCCACTGAGAGGAGACTGTGCTTTTCTAACAACCGCTGGAGTGGAAGGAAACCTCCTCAAGTTCTGACGAGTGTTGTGTGCGTGCCAGGAAGCGTGTGAGGTGCAGGCAGTCCCTGGGGCACCCTGGACGGTCAGTGCGCTCCTGCTCCTGGGCCCGTGGGAAATTTCCCTTTTGGGTGGAGGACAAGTTAAAGGCAACACTGTGTCCAGAGGTTCCATCTGGGACCAAGCCAATCAGACAACAGCCACCAGTCAGGTGTGTGCCTAGATGCTGAGGACTCTACGGGGAGGAGGAACTGCTTCCTCTTCCTATTCTAAGTGTAATTATTAAAGGCGGTGTTTCTGGAGAGCCCCAGAGTTGGCTACTGACATTGCCCAGCTCCTTCCTGCTGCCTGGGGAGCATTCCCACACACATTCCCTGGGAGTCGGAAAGAATATGCTAGTGTCCTCAGGTCTGTCCTACAGAGCTGGAGGTGCTCACCTCCCTCCTCCATCCCCCACTTATGAACTTCCCAGAAACCTGTCTGGCTCTCTTGTTTTTAACAGTTTTAATGGTATATCCCAGCGAAGCCAAGAACCATGGGGGGGGGGGAGGGTGCTGTCTCAGGGCCGCAGACCTCACCATGTGTCTTCTACAGAGCTGGTGTCTTGGTGATGCTCAGGCCCTGTGATGGCAGTGATCTCTACTGTTCAGAGCTCTCCCCAGGCTGGCAACTAAACATGGAACCGCGCTTACATAAATGGAGAACACAGGGAGGGTGACCTACACCGGCTGTGGCTTCTGGGTCTGTCTGGAGTTCCTTCCCTTATTTTTACAGCCTCCCAACTCTTCACCATCCCTGCCGAACCTCAGCCCATTGTAGAGCTCACTGTGGAGCCGGCAGAGCCTCACATCCAGGGAGGAATCCAAAGTGCCACGCCTTGGCAGATCCTTAACTGCCAGCAGCCTAGCCTGCTACTGGGCCTGAGAGGCACCAAGCAGTGTTTCTGGAGGAGTGAGGTGCTGAGGACCGGGCAACAGCCTTTCACCTGCCAGAGGCTC